TGCACTCGATCCCCTTGTCCAGATCATCAGTAAAGATATTAAATAGTACTGGCCCCAAAACTGAGCCCTGGGGAACACCACTGGTGACCGGCCACCAACTGGATTTAACCCCATTCACCACCACTCTCTGGGCTCAGCCAGCCAGCCAATATCACTATTACATCTATTTCAGTTTGGAAGTCTTGATATAAAGATACATGGAGTTTCCCTCAATTCTTGTATAAGACATCAAGGTGTGCATTGCTAATATTAAAGACACGTACTGAACATTTGTAACTGTAGAAACTTAGAAATTGTAAAGTCATATACTTAAAGGGCATTTGCTTCTTTGTAATTCTCCACATTTTTATTTTTGCTATATTAGCCTTTCCCTTCACATCTCACCAGTTCAGGAGGAAAAAGGAAAACGTCTTTCTTTATGCAGGAAAAAGAAAATCATCTTTCTTTATGCAGATATTTCCTTCATGGAAAGGAGCATGTGGTAGTTCTGTCAATCTGAGAATAACAAAATGATTGCCACGTAGGGCCTGGTTGCTGAGAAGGAACTTTGCTCACTGCTGGATTGTATGCAGCAGAGTATTGTTGCATGTAACAGCTTGCTTTGCAGGCTCTTGCTTTGCTTTAGATGCAACACAAAGGGAAGAGAATAAGCACACAGCAGCAAGACAGGACATACCAAAATACATGATGAGTCTTTATTTGCCTTTTTTTTTTTTTTTTTTTTTTTTTGTAATAGATGAAAGATGGAGGGTTTAGTAAACTCTCTCATACCAGGCTGTTATTTTGGGTAGTAGAAAAGCCATGAAGCAAGACCAGTGTTAGAACATCTAGTGTTCCTGTGGTTTATATCAATTTTATGGCTATGATTTGCACAGTATTCAGAACCACTGTAAACTCTGTTTTGTTCAGAATTTACTGGCTTAGTCATTCAGTGAGATCCTTGAATTTTAAAGCAGTCAGAAGGTTCCTGGCTGCCAGGAGTGAATGCTGCACATACCAAAGATACAATCTGTTTTCTTATATAGGTAGCTTCTCAAGTAAATAATGTGCTCTCAGTTACCTCTATATCGCTTCCTTGCATTAGTAGAGCATAGAATAATATCTGAGCGTGTCTCCTGATTTTTGTTAGCCCCGCAAGTGGTTGTATACCTGTTTTCTACACTGTAAACAGGCCTTTAGCGCTGTTCTCCCAGTGGACGATAAAGACCACGACCTCAATATGGGATTGGAGAGAGTTATGAGTCTTAACTGGTGACAAAAGTAAGGCTGAGTTGTTTAGATTGTTCAGAAAGTGAAGTCCAAACTGACAATTAAAAGGCAAAGTAAATTAGGATCGTCTTGAACAGTGGTTCACAGAATAATAGGTAGGCAGGGCAACCTTGGCAGGCAGTACCATTAATATAGAGTACCAGTAAAAACATGTGATAGGTGTGCAGCATGTGTTGTGGAAGGAGAAGGAGGAGTTCACAGTCTGGTTTTGCCGTGACTGGATCTAATCATGTGCCTACAGAGCAGACTTCCAGAGTGGGGTTAACGATACCATTAGGATTTGAGGAAATAGCAAAAGTATGGTTTTGGATGTAATTATTTAAATGTCTGCAGCAATCTTCATCTTTAGCCCAGGCATTACACTCCGGTCCTGCAGTTTTGAGGTTAACTGCCTGGATCAAGCCTCTCTGCAGTAAGAGGATATGTGGCTACAGTAAACATAGTTGTGTGAACCTGTTTGCAGGAACAAAGCATTAAAGATTTGTTCACAACACAATTTGTAGGTTAGTTTTAAAAAGTTACTTTCACAGATACTCTCTGAAGATTACAAGAGAAATGATAACTGTAACAATTGCTGAAATTACTGGAAGATGGAAATAAATTCCATTTCTGATGTTGGCTATTACTTGTCTTCAAGTTTCTTAGAGTTTAACTTTGCTTTGATATAGCTTCTTGCCAAGTATGTTTGATATTCTCTGTTTTACTTTTTCATAGGAAGTGAATATCGAATTCGAAGCACATTCCATATCAGACAATGACTATAATGGGATAAAGAAGTTACTACAGCAGGTACTTTGACTTCTTGTTAGCTTGATTGATATGACCATTGATAAATAATATCTAAAGAGTTATGCAAAGTCATCAGTTCACATTATCTGTATTGATTCATAGTTTTACTGTGCTTCAGCTTGTGAAGATTAGATAATCTCAACCACAGTGAACATGTGTCTCCTAAACCATGGTTTCAAGAACTTTACCCAACGAACTGTAGGGCTGTTCATCCACAGTGTGTATAATCTTTCCATCTTCATTTCCTTAGTTGCTGCCCAGAAAACCTCATTCAATGTTAATCAGCTTCCCAGAGGATTTTTTTCTGGCAGCTCCCAGTCATTTGGCTGTTTCTGCTGTAAACCTGTGCTCAGCAAGCATTCAGATCATACCAAACTCGAAAAGATAGCAGGTATGCAAAATGCCAGATTGTGGAGGGTCAAGGAGCAAACACTTCAAGAAGCTGATTTTTAGTCTTTACAGTATTACATTGAAGGAAGTTAAATAAACAAACTCACTAAATGGAAATTAAAAATGGAACAGAGTGTTGCATAGCAACTTAGAGAAATTACTGACTTTATATTCTAGTAAGTGGCCCGTGATATATCGTCAGGCCTAAAACTTCCTAATACTTGTTTCCTATTTTCCAGTTGTTTCTAAAAGCTCCTGTTAATACTGCTGAATTAACTGATATATTAATACAACAGAATCATATTGGAAGTATTATCAAGGTAAGACAGAATTTATGTTTGTAAATGAAGTACAATACTTTTTATGTTGAAATGACATAACGGACTTTCAGAAGGGGATCCTATCTTTGTAATTTGTATGCTTTCTTGCTTTTTTGCTTTGAGAATAATTCTATGGAAGCTGAAATTTTCCATGCCTACTTTCAACCAACCAGAGACTTTGATTTATTATTTTGGTTAGTTTCTTTTTACATATGGAAGGCTTTTCCCTTTTCACTTTTCTCTCTGAATTTTGCTGTAATGGAGTAATAATGCTGAAAATGCTATGAGAAGTTTGTTACCGTCACCATAAGAAATAGGACCTTGTGATTTCCCTGCATTCTCAGGATGTACAGCGATACAGGCCAAAAATATCCTGCATGCAGATCCCGACATGAGTCCTGAACAAGTTCTGCTATGGGAGTGGAGCAGAGGCTCCTGAGTTACTCCTGGCTGAGGACGCTGTTCAGTACTGTATAGTGCTTTAAGATGCCATGACGACATTGGTTTCAAACCCAAACAAGCTGCCGTCACGGCACAGTTGTGCTATAGTACCGTGTTGCATGGTATCATTGTTATACATTCCCTTTTTGTCCTGTGCCAACAGTTTTTCTGCCCAGGTTTAGCAGGATCTTCATATTACAGCTGCATCACCCTCAGTTCTTTGCCCAAGTTTTTCATTGCGGAGTTTTGTTGAGCTTTTTGTTTCATTCTCTATCAAAGCTCTGTTGCTCTATGGTTTTTAAGACTTTGCCGGTTTACTTCCCTACATTAGAAGCTGAAGAAAATTGGCTTTGCTTAAGGTATTGCCATCACTTCTACGAGAAGCTGAAGAAAATTGGCTTTGCTTAAGTTATTGCCATCACTTGTACCGAGATACTACTTACTAAATGTAAGCTATCAAATTTTAGTGCCTTTCAAAAGATCCTACTGTAGAAGGTGCATAACCTGACTGTCTATATAGCTGGCTCTAAGTACACAGAGACGTTCAATGATGCAGCAGTTTCATAACTGTAACCAGAATTTGTAGGTTGTGTGTTTGAACAGATTACCTAGATGGTTGTCATCTGCTGAGCATCTTCTGGAAAGAAAAACATGTTTTACTGCAGAGTGGAGGTAAAATGTCAATATGAGTTGTTGCTTTTTCTTTCATTAAATAGCAAGCAGAAGTCCAGGAAGACAGTAGTGATGATGATGAAGATGATGATGAAGTCTTTGGTTTTATAAGCTGCTTGAACTTAACGGAAAGGAAGGTTGGTATTCCTCATTAATGTCTAGACAGTAATAAGTGATACTATGTCCTGCTTTTCTGCCTTGTATAACAAGCCTAGACAGGGTTAGGATTTTGAATTCCACCATGAAGGACTATGGCCTTAAAAGTTGCACATCATTCAGCTTTCTTTTGGATCTAGTCCTGCGTAACTTGCTGAAGCTCAAACATAAAGCAAAGAATGGAATACAGAGTTAAAACTAGGTCTAATAGTAGTTCCAGGGTAACTGACCTGTCAGCCTCTTGTATTTCTTCACTTTCATCTTTCGCAGCTTTTGAGTTTTGCTGTTGAATGTACTGGTGTTGCAACTCCTGACTGCATTGCTGTCAGTTAAGAACCTTTGTTTGCCCTCAGCTTCAGGGTTGGTAAATAAATTCAGAGAAATTGTACAGTGCTTTAGAGACTGCTTAAGGAAATTGCCAACAGACCTGTAGAATATTCCCTTGAAGTTCACGTTCAAGGTTTTCTTTTGTAAATAATTGTTCTGTAATGTAAAGAAAATATACCTTTTGATTCTAGGGTACACAGTGTGCTGAACAAATCAAAGAGCTGATTCTAAGTCGATGTGAGAAGAGCTGTGAACAGCATGTAGTTGAACAACTGAATAAGCTCCTAAATGACAGTACTAAGCCTGTGGGTCTTATACTAAGTGAAAGATTCGTTAATGTACCACCGCAGATTGCTCTGCCCATGCACCAGCAGCTTCAGTAAGTTTATTTGGGGGTTTTTTTTGACATGATGTTGAATAGTACTTTTTCCTCATATTTTTTCAGAAATCTTCTGTATATAGAACTATGTTA